CTTTAATTCTTCATTTACTGTTCCATGTTTTAAGAAAAAGTAAGTTTAAGAACTTATTTCTAAATAGTAATAATCTATATACATATATAATGCATAATAATTGAAAATGTGACTGTATTTTACAACATACTAGTCGACTAAAACACAGCCAAGACAAGTCACTTTGTAAAGACTAAAGGTCAGTTTTATATTACTGGATACGGCAACATGATTGCATGCGAGTTGTATCATTGTAACTTCTGTATTGTTAGTCAAGCATGACTGAAAGGTTAATATAATAAAAATAATAAATATATATAAATGTATAATGTTATGAGATTTAAGCTATTTAGTCTAAATCTTTAAGTTTTCATGTTATATTCTGTTGTCATTCTAGAATGAAAGAGGCATAATTGATGTATATATATTTCCTAATTTTTTATGGTAGTTACAAGATTGGTCAAATAAACCAAACCTGTACAGAGATTCATCAGTGAAAATAAAATATAAAGTTTTTGTCTTAAGAAATGTTTGATAACTATCTGGATATTACAAATATTTTGCATGTGAGATTTGAACATTAAATTAAGACATTTACATAATTATCTTTATCATCATATGAATTGATATGTATTTTTGAATTGGTTGTATAATATAATATGGGCCATTTCAGACTTCTATTAACTCTTTCACCACGGGCTCAATCCCTGGGACCGACCTTGTAACCATTTTATGCTTGTTATAGTTTTCATGCTATAACTTTTAAATGAGTAAGTGTATATTAACAAACTTTTGTAGATTATCAGTAAACATTACAATGCATTCATATGCAAAATATAGATTTTTTATATTAAGTCAAAAGGTTTGTTAAGCAATGTTTTTCTCGTGACTTTTTTCATTTTATGATTAAAAATACTTTTATGGATCAGAAAATCGTTGTGGCCCTCATGACAGAATAGCAGACAAATTATCAGTAAGTTTTACCTGTGTATTACAACTTGAAGATTTGAAACAAGCCTTAACTTCATGTAACTCTGTCCAGTATGTCATCTCTGCCAAAAATATTCATGTCCTTATCAGCTATATTAGATACATGATGTCAGAGAAGGTAGGACACAATCACAAAACAGTTGCAATATGAGCATAGCATCACAATCAGGCTTTGATTGTGTGGGAGTGCCAGAGTAAATTTCACTCCCTTGTATAGAGAATGACATAGGAACCCAGCATTTGTTGTATTCACTAAACCAACCTAATATATGTACACATAGTCACCACCAGAACATTAGGCTTCAATGGCACACAAATCCCATGGTCTCTCTAACCCTAAAATTCTTGCACCAAGATGACACTGGCCCAGTTATCCTGACCAAGCTTGCAACCACCAGGTAACCATAAAAGTATAATACAACTTTTAACATAGTAAGTATATCTTCATGAAATTTGGCAAGATTTTAGTAAAAATATCAAGTCTTTTGCATACAAAAATAAGATTTTGTAATTAAGTATTTCTACTAAAAATTTGTCTGTGAACATATGAAGTCACAGTGTGACTCAGACCACTCCGAGTGCAAGGTAAATTCAATGTTAAGATTAAAAACACATTTTTTCATCTTACAGTTTTCTAATTTAATTTGCAAAACCTCTTGATTCTCATAAATAAATATCAAGTTTTTTTACAGTAAATCTTTATATCTGTTAAGTTTTCTACCTGAACACCATATATTGATTTGGTCGATTTGACTGACCTCTTAACCACCACCACAAAAAAACTTTTTTCCTTCTAGAATGACTGCAGATTGTAACAGAAGTTTGTTTGTATGTAATTAAGCACAAAGCTACACAATGGGCTATCTGTGTTTTGCCCACCATGGGTATCGAAACCTGGATTCTAGCATTGCAAGTTTGCATACATACCCCTCTACCACAGAAAATTACAATTAATTATCATAAGCAGCCTAAGGCTCATAACCATTTACATTTGTTTTTATTTAATTTTATTGTTTAATTGCTCTTTAAACCATGTCTAACTATTAATCCTGTGCTACAAACTGCAAATCACACAACAAATGAATAGTTCAAGTTAGAGTACTGAATGATGTAATGAATATACTTCATCAAGAAATTGTTTATATTATTTTCATTATCTAGTATAACCTAATAACTTTCTAATTTTAGTCACTTTTATTACAATAAATAAAAAATATATTTAAAAAATGAGATATTTAACAGTTCATTTGAACTACTGTTTTTTTGCTGACAGCCCTTCATCAAAACTTATCCCTAGTTCCTTGTAACAATATTACTAATAAAATAATTTTCATTTACTTGAAATATAGACTAAAAAAAATACAAAATAATAACAAACACAAAGCAAACAATGTTCTATAACTACTGTAATTTACCTGGCTTTCTAACTTAGACATAAGTGACTTAAGATAATTCCCTTAGCTACTAAATGGCAATAGCAACTTTGAATCTGTAAGAAAAATAAGTAAAAATTTCTTCTGAGGCCAAGGTAACATTATACATTATTTAGTAAGTTAAATCTGTCTTTCTATTGGTTATAAGTTACATAATAGCAAATATCAGAGAGAACTATTGGCATTTGTGAAAGGAGAATATGATAAAAGGAAATGACAGGCAGGTATGCTTTTCTGGTTTATCTCTCCATACACAAAGAATCAAAACTATAAAAATTAGGCTATGTCTTAGTTATAGTAATACATATATATCATAATGACTAATTTACATTAAACTCAAGACATCGTAGAGGGGTATGAACAAACAGAAAATGGGCCAGTCGGCACAAATAAGGCAAGTGAAGAATTTATTTAAATATTCCTTTTCAAAATTAAGAAATTAAAATTTGATTTATAGGCTATGTTTTGATTCCATATATATTTGTATACAATGATGATAAAGAAGCTCAATTAAATTTTTAATATAACTAAAATATTGTGACATGTGCGCTAACTACCTGTATCAAGACAGTTAAAGCACAATTTTGAAACACGCTACCATCAACATGGCATGTACAACTTAACTTTTTGCAACTGCTTATGATAGATAACATGTTCACGGATACTTAGCCATTAAAACCACATTTCAATCTTACTTTCTTTCTTATGATATAGAAAACTATTTTAGAACTTGAAAAACACCCATCTTTCTGTATACATTACAGATAATAGATACTAAATTAATGCTACCGACCATACAAGTACTTAATGCTTCAATACTTAACAATTAGTCATCTTTTTTTTTATATCTCTCACCTCAGGAACAAAATATTTTGGTCGAAGCTTCATTAGCAATCCAACTTTCTTCCCCAAAGATTTTGCTTTATTTGCAGACAACATCAGTTTACGCATAGGCCGACTAAGCCTAATAGGTACATCAGACATGTAGTCAACTCCACCAGCTATTGCCACTTCACAATGACCCGTAGCCAATAAGTTCATTGCTATTAACAAACCATTTAACTTTGATTATCTTTGAAAAAAAATCCAATGAAGACAATATTATACATGTTAACATCATGTCATGATAAGAAAACATAGTGATCACTTGTGTGTTTGATTTTATTATAATGAAAAATTTATTTGATTAATCCATTATACGATTTGTTGAACTCCACAAATTAAAACATAAAAGTTCATATATGCATGTTATACTTACTTTCAAGGAAACAAGTTATTTTAGCATTTCATGCAAATTGTTTTAATATGAAGTAGTGCTACAAATTATGAAAAACAAGTTAGTTTTAAATTAAGAATAATTCACAAAATCTTAACCATGCAATCTTTGGAGGGAGTCTCAGACAAATTTATAGTTAAGGTTAAAATCAAATCAAAATTTTACCATCTTTGTTGATTATTTTCAAAATGTGTACATGTAGAAAAACATATACAATTAATAAGAAGGAACTAGAAAATATTCCAACTGGATCTATCTAAACACCTATTAAACTTTAAAAACAGTAGTCAATCCACATCTAGAGAACAAAGAAATATTTTTTAAACTTCATTTTAACAGAGAAAAACATGACAGAAGTGACCAATACAATTTTTTTTAATAACATATACAGATTTTAGAAAGAAATTTTTTTGTTTGATACAAAATTAAGACTTAACACAATAAATGATAGAAAGTTAACATTTTCCAAAATTCGAAAATGTATTTCCAATAATACTTACCTCTTTTCACACATAGCTATTACTCGACTGCCAGGGTTTCTCCCTTTGCCCATCTAAGCATCAGTCTGATTTTTTCTTACTTGCTCTAGTCTTATACTCCACTTAACTGCCCTTGGCAATATTTGTCTCATGACACTCTCCGCTAACATCAATGCACCCTCTATCTTGATACTGTGTATAAGCACCTCATTCAGATAATGTTATCACTTTTTTGAGACTGACTCTATCCCAATCTTTAACACCGTCTCTTAGTGGGGAGGAAGGGCAGAAGAGTGTGAACAGAGGTAAATATTATTGGAAATACATTTTCAATTTAAGAAAATGTTAACTTCCAAAAAATACTTACCTCCTCTCCTACTTATAGCTAGCATCCCACATTGAGAAGGTGGAGGAGCTGGTGAGGGCATTATCCATACAGAAAGCATCTGCATGGAACATGGGTGTGTAAATAGAACATTGGCACCCTAGTGAGGGAATCACACTACATCCAGAACAGGCATGCTCTTCATCCTGAACATAATCCTGTATCTTGGGTGGAATTGTATAAGAGTGATCATTACTATAGGCCAGCCCTAATCAGATAGCCAAGGTTCCACTACTCTGGATTGGAATTAAGGGGTCTTAGGCCCTATATCACACGTTGGTAGTTAGGGTATAGAGTGATGTGTTCCGAGCCACCGAAATCACGACTAGAAAGTAAGCAACACCAAAGTGGACAAACCTTCTCCTCCACCTGAAGAAGCCTGAAAGGCAACACAACAGACTCAAATGACAGGATCATGTATGCCTTACTCAACCAAAGAAAACAGAACTCATCCGGTCTAGAATTATGAAAATTCATCCTCACTCCCCAAACGTGTGGGTAAGGTACATTCCATTTGCCCCCAGAATTATGGGGAGGATGTGGAAGATAGACATAGAAATGTGACACATCTGATTAGACATGACTCACAGAAAATTCCTCATCTTCAAAGAAAGCCCAGAAGAAAAAATCATTGTCTAGCATCTTTCAAGGCATTAGAGCAGGTAACAAAACCTTCAAGACCCTCACTGAACATGACCACAATCTGATCAGACATAAAAGTGAGAAATAGTGATTGAATAAATAGGTGAAAAGGATTTTAACCCCTTTTCTGTCTGACAGTGTCTTGGGTAAGAAGAACTGGTCTGAGGATGTATAGATAATAAGAAGGCGGTTTGTGGACAAACAGTGCAAATCATTCTGACCAGTGATGTCTGTAGGTCAACAGCCACAAAAAATAAACCTTCAGGTTAAAGGGATACATGGCATATAAGTCAGGGCAAAAACAGGTACTGAGAAAGAGCCTATACTGTAATCTTAATATACCTATTAGGTAACTGGAATGGTCATTTGGATCCAAGGACTTGAGGAATCCGGAGAGTATAGGGACTTGTGTAGTCGCAATAAACTAACAATAATCAGTAAGGCTGCCTTAAACAGAGTGACTGTGGAAGATGCAAAAACCTCTGCCAAAGAGCCAGGTCAAAAACTAGTTATGGTTCGAACTTCTGTCCAAAATGGGTTCAACCTCCTCTCAATACACCATTGCTGATATGAGTGTTATTTCCATTGATAAATGTTCATCTCAGACTAAGCAAAAACTGTGACAGATACATGGCAACCTTAGAAATTAAACCTCAATGCCATGCAAAAGACTGCATAATCTCCATGCCTAAAACTTGAGCTTCTGGATAGCTGGGCGTATCAAGGCAGATCATGCTGAAGAAGAGGTGGATACTTCAGAAGGTACAGCAGAAGCAAAAACCAGGGTATAGCAGCCAATCTGGTGCTATCAACAGGACCCGACAATGGGTTGGAATGAACCATATTTTGTACCTTGTGTAACATAAGAAGACCTAGAGTTGTAATCCTGTCTTGTCCTGATGGAATGCAATCATTGCCAAAGCCCAAAAATGAGACAATAGTAGTTAGGTGATACAATGAGAGGCCAACCCACCATTTAAAATTGCATAATTAGAGCCAATTCAACAGAACCTTGTGATGCAGCATCTATTCTGTCAGGAGAATCAGATAGGACTGAGAATATCAACCTGCTACCATAGGCATCACCCATAGAACATGGCAAGCTAGTAGGATGATAAGATAGGAAAGGTCCCGAGAAAGGAGGTCCAAAATTAAAAAATAAGGAGCCCTGGACCAAGTGCCTCCTCAATGAGAAACACAAGACACCATCATAAAACTGTCAGAGAGAAGCTTGATGATTTTCCCTTTAATAATCTCAGATCATGATGCATTCATTGCCTGTTGAAGTGCAAGAAGGACTAAAACACTGTGTAGGAAAGTCTTTTAATCTGTGCATAGACCCTGGAATTCCTAACTGTTGGTATATGCACCTCATCCTTGAAGCAAGGCATTCGTGGAGAGATGGAACTCTGGACAAGGTAGCAGTAGAGGAACCCATATCACAGTAATGTCCCAACAGAACAACCCCTTGAGATCCAGAGTAAGAAAATTGGGGAACCAGTGAATTGATGTTTATGATCACTTGGTCACATAAAGACCATTAAAAGGATCTCTTGTGCTCTCGTCCCAAAGCCATAAGGGATTTGAGTGATACCCACAACCCTAAAAGGGAAAGAACCATCCATGCCATGGGAGAAGGAGAGGTGAGTAAGAATCTGGAGTCTTATTCCATAACATTAAGCCAGATGGGAGTCAACTGACCAACTGAGAGACAAGATTAAAAATAAAATGTACCCAGACAGATGACATATTGAATTGGAGCAAGAACATATGTCTCAGCCTTGAAAATGAAGCCTGCCTTGGTTGTTTCTGAAAGGATGTGATGTTCTGACAATTGATTAGATAGTTCCAGCAGTAACCGGTCGTCCATGGAATGGTGTGTGCATAGAGCGATGGAATGGAAGTGACGAGGAAAGTCGTACAAAATGGCAGAACCCACGTGAAGCCGATGCAAGTCAGAAGGTAAAAACACGGGACAGCAGTACATGACCCTTGAGCACATCAAACATCGATAGTAGTGGGACTCCACCACTATGGCAATGTGCAGACAGGAGCCAAATACAGCAAAAGTGTACATTTACAATCCCAGTAACAAATGTCAAATCAGATTGATGCATGAGTAACTTGTGAACCTTGGAGAATCTAGGCATGGATATAGAGGAGAAAGATCGATGACTGGACACCAATCTCCTGTCTGCACAGACCCAACAACTGACAGGAATAAAACCTCGGAAGAACTAGCACAAATCTCTCACTACCTCCAGACCAACCAAACTGTGATAGCCCTAGAACTAAATTCCAAATCCCAATGATCTGCAGGAGACAGAAACCCTACAGGTTGGGTGGATAACAGATGTGAATATATGAACTAAATGACTAATCCTGACTCAAAGACATGCAGTGCTCCTGGATTCATGGTTAAGATTACCACAGGTCCAGAAATTTTCAAAACCGAGCCTACACAGACCTTGAAGGTATACAATACTTATCAATGCTACTAATGATCTGACCAAGCAGTGGAACCCTTGAATATAGACAGAATCTATTATGAGTACTAAGGTACCAAGGGGCTGATGTTGGGGGTCAGGACCCATGAATAGGGGTGGAACTATGATTCCCTGTAGGAGGCAATAAAAATTCTAGACTCCCAATGACAACAGGGAAGAAGTTAGAAGCTTAAAATTGAACCAATGTGCATGTTAACAAGTAAATTAGCTCGTCATCAATGAAGTTGGCGATCCAGAGAGTCTTCCAACAAACTGAAGTGAAAGGAAAACAAAATGGTGGATTTTAAAGTTGGAAGTCCATACTTATCCTGTTACACCAGGGGACATAGATTTACTCAGTTAGCTACAAACTCCCTTAGAATCACAAAATTCCAGGAGCAGAAGTATTATTTAAGAGTCAGAAAATGCTTCCACCTGGCAGTGGTAGACTAAATCACAAAGTTCTGACAACATGTCAGATAGAGTATAACTGTTCCTTCACAAAACTGAGAAGCAAACCTTAAACCTTCAAGCATGAACCACAATATCTGTGGATAGAGAGAAAAACTAAACTTTCACTCCCAGGCCTTTCAACCATCAAGTAAGGAGCAGATTAAAAAGCAACCGGGAAAAAGCCCAAAACATCACATTCTCAAAGAACCAACAGAAAAAATAAATCAAAGGCAGCTCATACCAAAGTGGCCTCTTTTTTTTATTATTATTACTGATGATTGGAACAACATTTTGAGGTAAATTTGTTTTATTAGAGCAAAGCAACGTTGGAGCATCCACGTCTTCCACCCGAGGAAATCGAACCCCAGCACTACAAATCTGCAAACTCACCACTGTCCCACAAGGGGCCTGAAAAGCCAACAGACTACTCCACAAATTTGTACCATAGATTGGATTGCCAATCAGAATAAAAAAAATATTTAATTTTTTATTCATTTATCATAAATTACTATTACAAAAATCAACTAGATAATACTGATAACCTTCAAAATATTGCAATACTGGGAAACCTGTTAGTGACGCTTTGTCGAGAAAAAGTAATAACATTTTCTGAATGAGGTGCTTATATACAGTACCAGGATAGAGGGTGCACTGATGTAGGTGGAGAGTGTCACGAGACAATTATCGACAAGGGCAATTAAGTGGGTATAAAATACTGGAGCAAGCGAGAAAAAATCTGACCAATGTTTAGATGGGCAAAGAAATAAACCCTGGCAGTCGGGTAACAGCTATAAGTGAGAGCAGAGGTATTTATGTTTCGGAATCACAATACGTATCTTTAAAACTCTAAAAATGTGACTTATTGAAACATCAGAAAAATTATAATGTCTATCTTTAAAGCTCTAGTGGCTGAAAATGTGACATAAGAGAACATCAGAAAAATTATATGTCTACCTTTAAAGCTTCTGTGTTTGAAATTGTGACTTATATTACTTAAAATACTTAATTTACTTCACTTACTATATATTTTTACGTTCTTTTTACTTTTAGATCTTATAAAATTCATTTAATATTTTTTTACACAGTTTCTTATTTCATCTTGTTAAAAGATCATACTATTTCACAATCATGTCTGTTTTGTATTGAGTAAAAAGAAAAAAATGATCAAAAATAGAACAAATAAATAATATTGGTAAGTTGAACTATTTTTTTTAATTTTGTCTTGAACGTTCAAATTAATTTTTGTGCACAAGATGCAAAGTAACTTACTCTCACTTAACTCTCTCAACACGAGATTGGTAAAGTAGACCGACCACGTGACCTCTTTGTACTCGATTAAAGTCTTTATAGATCTAATACTTCTAATTCTCAACATAGTGTGTGTATATATATCTTCACAAAATTTGGCAGTGTTTCAATTCATATTATAAGTCTTTCACATACAAAAAGTCATATTTCTTAGTGAAGTATTTTTAATAAAATAAAGATTTGTCAATGAATATATTGAGTATTTGTTTTGAACAGTCTGTGTGCAAAGTAATTTTGATATGAAGAGTTCAATAATTTTGATGTTCTTCTGTTTCAACTAATGTAAGTGAATAGATGAATATTTTACAATAAAAGTATTTTGTATTTGTCTTGAAACCATTTCTGTGTGAATTTCTTTATTCAAAACATAAACCTCCTTAAATTGGAGGCTTGTGTGCTTAATCCACGACCTTATAACCTGGTATCAAACAAATATTATTTGTAACAAGTGTTCAGTTAAACCTAAACAACTACGTTCCACAAAAGCCACCCATTACACATGAAAGATCATGTAACTTGTAGGTTTTCATGTAACCTTTAGATCAAATCCTACAAATTGTTTGCAATCTATCAGTACGTGGAGGCTTACTGTGTCTTTTTGGTTTGCTCTCCCAACCATTGGTTTGGTCTTTTTGGTTTGCTCTCCCAAGGAGTTTGGAGAAATTGTTTTCCCCATCAATCTTCTCTAAGTTTATCAGCTTAAGTTTCAAATAAAGAATAACATGTAAAAATAGTTTTTATTGTGTATCTAAAAACAAATCTGGCATTGAGATAGTTGCTTATCTATACCTTTGTAGTGAAAGTGTTTAAATGAGACTTTTTAAGGCAAAGAGTCAAAATATGTACATATTTAAAATGTAAAACACATATCAATTGGCTCAAAACCATGTTTGTTACAAAAACCATCAGCTAGTATCATGAAAGCAAGGTAAACAATTTCAGGGAGACAGAGATTAAGTGAAAATGTAAGTTTCATTTACACTTTGAATTTATTATTATATTTAGGCATTAGTTAATCATAGAAAGATAGCTCTGAAGGTGCTTTATTTTTGTTTATGGTATTTTTTATTTTTAACAATTGACAAATAAAACTTCAGAAGCAGCCAATTACACTATTTAAAAACAAAACAGAATTAATTACTGTGAAATAGCACAAATAAAAACTTGTTTTATACTAGTAAAAAACAGCACATACATTCAAGTAAAAATGTATTGGGAATTTTCAAAACCAGACGTTTTTGTATTATTTTTATTAACCTTCAAAAATATCCAACCAGCTAAAAGGAATGCAAAAACAAAATATTTTCAATTGCTAAACTTATGTTATGTCCTGGCATTAATTCCTAGAGAAAGACTAATGCTTACCTGTATTTACTGACTGATTAGATGAAATACAAGCCTGGGTAACAGTGTGTGCAGGAGTTTTGTCAGAAAATCCTGCAGCAAGGGCAGCCTTGGGAAAAACAAATACCATTAACAAAAAATACAAATAATGTAACTTTCTCTGAAAAACAGCAGAAAATAACTAGTTTGTGAATTTATTGGAAAGCCTACAGGTGAACTGAAAAATTCTGGATCAAGTGTCTTCCTTCAACTTAAAATAGTTTAAAAAAAATGTCCAATAAAATATAAAGTAAGTATACACAATAACAAAGTAAGAAGTCATAGGCTTCCATAATATACATGTTAATATTTTCTTGAATCAAAAATGTATTTTCAATAATACTTACCTCCTCTCACACTACAGCTATTACTTGACTGCTAGGGTTTTCTTCCTTTGCCCATCTAACATTGGTCTGATTTGTACTCGCTTGCTCCAGTTTCTTATTCCCCAATTAACTGCCCTTGGCAATATCTATTTCGTGACACTGTCAACCTATGTCCATGTGATCTGGTATCCTGGTACTCATTCAAAAAAGATTATCACTTTTTCTAGACCGACCCAATCCACAATCTCTAACACCAGCTCTCGGTGGGAAGGAAGGATGGGAGAGTGTGAATGGAGGTAAATATTAATGGAAAAACATTTTTGATTTAAGAAAATGTTAACTTTCAAAACATACTTACCTCCCCTCACACTACAACTAGAATCCCACATTGATAACGTGTCTGCATAGAATGTGGGTGTGCCAATAGAAAACTAGTGCCCTAGTAGGGGAAACTGCATTACATTCAGAATATGTATGCTCTTCACCCAGAATCTAATTCATGCATTGCTGGTGGAATATGTCATCACTGTTGGCCAGGCCCCAACAAGATAACCAAGGTTCCACTGCAAGGGTTGGAATTATAGGGCCATAGTCCCTAAACTCCACATTGGTGGCTAGAGCATTTGGACCACAATATATATACTTGTGAGTGAATTCAAACCTGTAGCTACTGAGTGGTGCATTCCAAGCCACCAAAATCACGACAAGAAGATTAGCAGCATCAAACTAGACAAACCCTCACCTCAACCTGAAGAAGTCCAAAATGCAACACCCAAAACTCCGAATGACTGGATACTGTATGCCATACTCAACCTGAGGAAACATAATTCAATCAGTCTAGAATTATGAACACTCTTCCTTACTCCACAACCCCAGAATTATGAGTAGGATGTGGAACAAATTGTGCTCAACCAAATATCCAGGATTGGACCACTCTGCATTTGGAATTACGAGGAGGCAATGGACTGTCTTCCATGAACAATGTACTGGACTGATATTAATCAAAAAGAAGGGCCACACTCAACACAGCCAGATAGCCAAGCATTAAAATTCCCTAAATTTTTTAAAAGCAAACCGACCCTGATTTATTCAATCCAATGATCAGCTAGGACAAGCAGGATCCCCTTATACTTTACACATGATAGTCCATGAGTGGCAGCCCAGCATAGTATAGTATTACCACCCAGTCTGCCTCAAGGTGGTCTTAAGGAATACCACCTTTCTACAGAGCCTGTTGCAACCTAGATAAGGTATATTGTATTAATGGTTGCTCGTGTGGAATTTGTTTGATAAAAGCACACCTGCCTGGACAATATTCACCACAGAGTGGGTTCCTGTGAAAACAAGGTAAGGAGCCCTGGAAAGTAAAGAGACAATATTAGTAATTAAGATACTGACACCCCCTTATAATCTACTGGATGTTTTAGTTGAAAACCCTCAGAAGAAAATACTGCCACATCATGTAAATAATGTGAGATAAAAGTATTGGAGGAGGTCCACATACCAATCTGCACAATGTTCTCCAAAGGCCATTGAACTGAGCTGTGAAGGATACAGAAATATGACTAACCTGATGAGACATGATACGCAGAAACCTCTTCACCTCCAAAGAGAACCCAGAATAACCAATATGAATTAATTTCCATACCCACCTAGATAAAGCAACTGTGGATAAGGCTTAGGGCTCAAACAGATGTTGAGAAAAAGCATGTAATACCACTGTAATATCGTATTTACGTAAATGAAACAGTCATTTGGGAAAAAGGACCAGAAATGATTTGGTGAGGACAGAGAGCACTGGGGACTCAAATCATTTTTGTTTTTAAGTATCTAAAGGCAGTCAATAAGGCCACCTTACATAAGGCGACTGTGGAAGATGCAAAACCCTTGTCAAAGAGCCAGGTCATAAAATGAGTTATGATTGGCACTTCTGAAGGAAGTGGGTTAAACATCCTTACTTTACATCATTGTCAATATGTGCCATTTCTGTTGATAAATGTCCACTGTGGGATCTTCCAACACGGGTTTGTTTAATTTTACCAACCACGTGCCCTCTTGGAGCTCGCTTAACTCTCTCCACACGGGCTTGGTCAATTTGACCGACCACGTGACCTCTTTGTACTTGTTTAAAATCTTCATAGATTTAATACTTCTAACTTTCAATATATATAAATATATGTGTGTGTATATCTTCACAAAATTTGGTAGTCTATCAATTAACATTATAAGTCTTTCACATACAAAAAATCATATTTTTTAGTGAAGTATTTCTAATAAACTAAAATAAAGATTTGTCCAAGAATATATTGAGTATTTGTTTTGAATAATCTATGTGTAAAGTGATTTTCATATTAAGATTAAAAATAGTTTTCTTCATCTCAAAAATCCCAAATTTCACTTGTGTAATATCTAATACCTCCTAAATAATTTCAAATGTTTGTTTTCAGTAAAACTTTATATTTTATCCATTATTTTCTCTATCCTAACTCTATACAAGGTTGGTCAATTTGACCAAGTAGATTTAAACTCATAACATTACACATCTATTTATAATTAAATTTTCAAGGTTTATTGCCCTTTGAACCGTGTCTAACTACTATTCGTGCCATTATAAGTTGTAAATCACTTGGGGAATGTGCAGCTCACATTACGCTATTGAATTACATTACCCATGAGCTATTAGAAGCTGCTCACGTGTGTGCCTCGTGAAAAATATTTATTATTGTATATTTTACCTAAGCTAACATTAACTAACCTAAAGAGACATCTATTTTTACATTTTAGTTACTTTTATAATAATAAATAAGAATAAACATAAAAAACAAGAAATAAAGGACTTACTTGAGTTTTTTTTTTCTCTCGACTATCGATAACAGTTAACCCTACTTTTTAAACTAATGGTAGTAGTGCATTAAATAATTTTTATTTAATTAAATAATGCACCAAAGAACATAGATTAATAACATTCAAAAAGCAAACAATTTCCTCTAACAATCACAATTTTTCTGGCTTTCTAACTATGTGACAAGAGCCGTTACAAATGCATCCAAGCTAGCCATTGTGATTCCCATGAGAACCAAAATTGAATTAGTAGTGAAATTGACTATTTTGTGTTCAGAACAAAACGTTAAACAATACATCATTTTGATAGATCAAACCTTGACTTTTTATTGGCTTTGGATATATAATTAAACGTAAGAGAGAACTATTAATAAATCCTGAAAGAGAGGATGTGACATGAGGGGTCTGATTTTCTATTTGATAGCTCTGTTACGAAAGAAAATTGACGGCTATAAAAATTATGGTTTGTCTGATCAATGACGATTTTATAGTGAGTCATTTCTGATTAATTTAGTTGTTTCTTGGAGAGGGGGGGGGGGTAAAATAGAGATGAGAAGATACCTAAAGGAAATATGTCACGTGAGTCACAATACGGAAAATTCAGGATTTGTTTTTTAAATATTGGCTTATAAAATTAAGAACTTAAAACTTATATAATATAAAGATATGGGTTATTAGTTTAAATTTTATACTATACTAATTGGTATAACATAAACAAAAAGTAGTTTAATTACATTTTCAATGTAAGACACTAAAACCTTGTGTCATGTACAGTTAGGGATACCCGGGGTGAGAGGGTTAAAGTCTTTATACTTTTGATACTACTAACTTTTAATATAGTGTGTATATCTTCACAAAATTTGGCAGTCTTTCAGTAAAAATTATAAGTTCTTCACATACAAAAAAATCTGATTTTTAATGAAGTATTTTTAATAAACTAAAAAATATTTCTCCGTGAAAATATAGAGTATTTTTTTTACTAGTCTGCGTGCATAGTAATTTTTCATGTTAAAATTAAAAATACTTTTCTTCATCTCTAAAATCTCAAG